CCAAATGATATTAAAAACAAATGTTTTTGTATCCTTGAATTTTTATAAATAAACATCATATATTTTTTCAATAAATCGTGAGAGTTTTGAATCTTCGACTCATAATTTTTTCTGCTATTCGGAGTCAATATTTAAATATATCGATTTAAAGAATATTTTTTCGTCCCAACGAAGTTTTGAATATGGGACACAAGTTATAAGTTTTGAAACTAATCGGCTTATGACACTTGTCAAAATCTCGTGAATCATAATTTTGTTACGTGTCACGATTCATGTTGAGTGCATCTTTCTTTATATAATAAGAAATATTTTTCCTTTTACTCTATATGTATCTAATTTCAGTTATATTTATCAATGGGTCATGACCTAGATGATATGTTCTTATATGAACGAATTTATCTTAAATTTTAAATATAAATGTTTGAACCAATAGTCATATGCAGATTAACTCAGATTCTTGAAAATAAAGTTTCTTACATCTTATTCATCATATATAAATCAAAATATTGATTATCATTAGTAGAAACCAAGTATTTATTAAATTAGTTTAGTGATATATTATAAAATTAGTCTAGTGAGATATTAGAAAAATATTTGTAGAATTAATTTATAGATATTATAAAAATATTTATAATATTAATTAAATGAGATTTTTATCCATTATGTTTAGTTAATTAATTTATATTTTATATAGCATAGTTTTATTGGCAAAAAAATAAATAAAGAGATATATATATATATATATAATGTTATCTAAAATCCAATTCAATTTTGCTTTACAGATATTTAAACATAAAATATTTTTACAAATATTGAGATTACATAATTGTATTTTTTTTTCATTACATGTATATTTGTGTTATGGTAGGCAAAAATTTAGGAATGGCGTTTAAAAAAGAATCAATCAACGGAAGTGGACGAAGCCCAAGAGGAAAAGGCCACGAAATCCCACCATTTACTCCGCCAAGAGGAGGTCACTAGAGTTATCAAACAACTACACCATTTAAATTAACTCTAATTAATATGTAATGTGTGTTTTTCGTTATCATTTTTTGAATAATAAAACAATCGATATTGATATTTATTGAAAAAGCGAGAGATAGACAGTACCCCAGTTTCAACTTTCTTAGAAATCTTTAAAATGTTACAACACTATTAACTGGATTACACACAACATAAGATACTTTTAGCTTGTAGTCAAATGACCTTTAACCTTAGACAAAATCTTAGAACAAAACATTGTTCTAACACACAGACTTGTGTTCCAGCAAGTAACTCGGCTTGTCTTCAAATCACTAAAAGAACACAAACGTTTTCTCTCTATATTTTTGGCTAACCTAGCATCACACGCTTCTCTTGTATATATATACACATATACCTATGAAGTGTTACCGTAGATTAACCTAGATACAAAAAAAAAAAATATATATATATCCTCTCTCAAATAAAAAGAATAAATCCTAAACTAAATCTCAAAGGGGAAGATTTTGAGGCCTCTAAAGGATGCCACGTCAACAAAAATATTCACCAATATAATCAGCCAATATAATTTCACAAAAACGACATGTCATACAGTAAACATA